AGATCATTAGTTTTACATTTAACAAATTATACAAATTTTGTTTTATCTCATTTATGCATCCTTTTAATGTACTTCCACTTACCTCCACTCCCTCTTCTTTCTTAACCCTCTGACTTTTGTCCTTGGGTAAATGGTGTGCCCTTTTGATCTTAAATGGTTAATGCTAACATCAGAGTGAGTGCAGTTCCAAACCTGAAGGGTGACTGTGGCCCATATGTAGTCTTGGGATTCCTACCATTCTCTTCCTGACCAGTGAGCCTGATCATTTTGAGTTTGATTCAATGTTTTTCTCTGTGTCCAGGGTATTTTTTGGGAGCACTTGGTACTAGGAGTCAGGTACCATCTACTTCTTCTAGTCTCAGGGTTGCTTCCATGATCCAGTTCTAACACTCCTGCTTTTGACATTAGAGTTGATTGTCATGGAATTCTGAATGTCTTTGTTCTTCCTCAAATAAATTTAGGGGAACATTTTTCGTTGTTATTTCTTTAGAATTGATCTGCATAACTGAGACCATCAAATAATTGTATACTTTTGCAAGCCTGGTACAAAAAGTAATGTTTTAATTTTTATCTTAGCATTTGTGGCCTTAGTATTATTTCCTAAATTGCATAGTTCAGTTCAGAAGCACAATGGAATATACCACACTCTCCTCAAAACATTTAAAAAATATAGTTCCCTTTTTCTCATGCATTCTATTCTAACCATTTTTATTGTGTGAATAAAGGAATTGGAAAAGTCAGTTAATCAGGTTACCTCAACTTCCTGTTTTCAATAAAACCAAGTGGCATTTAAAAATGAGCCTCTAATTTTTTACCTCAACCAAAGGAATCACTGGCATAAAAGAAGGCCTATCTAGAAGAAATCTTCTCACAAGCAGAGGAATTTGTATTCTAAGTTTCCTAACTTAATTCTCTAACCATCAAACTCTTCCCGAAAAGTTTTCAAACTCATCTAAGAATTTCCTGTGAAAGTCTACTTACTTGAATATTTTTTTAAAAGAAAAAAAATCCTAAGGCAAAATATAGTCACAATAACTGTCATCATATTACTGTTCATTATTTCTCTTATCTGTAATATTTTATAGTTTTTAAAATAAGTCACAAGTATTATATATTGATGCTCCATTCACCAAAAGATTCCATTTTTGACAACACCTACAACCTGGCATATATTTATAAACCTGAAACAATATATACCAAGTACAGTACTGGGTTAAACACTTTATATACATTACCTAATTTAACCCATTAGCAATTGTATGAATTAGCAGCAGTATCTTCATTCTATAAATTATACTGACAAATAACTTCTGAAAGGCATATAACCAATAAGGGGACAAAATAGATAAATACATAACATGTTGAACAGTTGCAAACCACTTAAGTTCTGTACACTAAAGTCTGTGATCATCATTGAGAGTGATCAGTAGGACTTCTTTATAAGGGCAAAAAAATGTAATATGATATTGCCAACCAAAGTAGTTTATCATAGTTTGGTATTTTAGAGTAAGTATTCATTCAGACAGCTTAGGTAGTAATGTTTTAAAAGATTATAGCACTGGCCTCTTTAAAAATTTTTTGATTTTGATTCACAGCTAAACTATGTATTAGGCAACAGTACCTTGATGTGTGTGCTTTCATTACTAAGCTCAGGTGACACCTTCGTGGCCTGCAGGTCCATTGCATACTGCAATCTTTTAG